TTGGGACACATACAGACTGAAAGTGAGGGGATGGAAAAAGATATTCCATGCAAATGGAAATCAAAAGAAAGATGGAGTAGCAATTCTCATATCAGACAAAACAGACTTTAAAATAAAGACTACTACAAGAGACAAAGAAGGACAGTACATAATGACCAAGAGATCAATCCAAGAAGAAGATATAACAATTATAAATATTTATGCACCCAACATAGGAGCACCTCAAAACATAAGGCAAATGCTAACAGCCATAAAAGGGGAAATCGACAGTAACACATTCATAGTAGAGGACTTAAACACCCCACTTTCACCAATGGACAGATCATCCAAAATGAAAATAAATAAGGAAACACAAGCTTTAAATGATACATTAAACAAGATGGACTTAATTGATATTTATAGGACACTCCATCCAAAAACAATAGGATACACTTTCTTCTCAAGTGCTCATGGAACATTCTCCAGGATAGATCATATCTTGGGTCACAAATAAAGCCTTGGCAAATTTAAGGAATTTGAAATTCTATCAAGTATCTTTTGAAACCACAATGCTATGAGACTACACATAAAATAAAGGAAAAAATCTGTAAAAAATGCAAACACATGGAGGCTAAACAATACACTACTAAATAACCAAGAGATCACTGAAAAAATCAAAGAGGAAATCAAAAAATACCTAGAAACAAAGGACAATGAAAACACGATGACCCAAAACCTTTGGGATGCAGCAAAATCAGTTCTAAGATGGAAGTTTATAGCAATACAATCCTACCTCAAGAAACAAGAAACATTTCAAATAAACAACTAACCTTACACCTAAAGCAATTAGAGAAAGAAGAACAACAACAAAAAAAAACCCAAAGTAAGCAGAAGGAAAGAAATCATAAAGATCAGATCAGAAATAAATGAAGAAGACATGAAGGAAATGATAGCAAAGATCAATGGAAATGAAAGCTGGTTCTTTGAGAAGATAAACGAAATTGATAAACCATTAGCCAGACTCATCAAGAAAAAAAAGGGAGAAGACTCAAATAAGTAGAATTAGAAATGAAAAAGGAGACGTAACAACTGGCACTGCACAAATGCAAAGGATCATGAGAGATTACTACAAGCAACTCTATGCCAATAAAATGGACAACCTGGAAGAAATGGACAAATTCTTAGAAAAGCACAACCTTCTCAGACTGAACCAGGAAGAAATAGAAAATATAAACAGACCAATCACAGGCGCTGAAATTGAAACTGTGATTAAAAGTCTTCCACAAACAAAAGCCCAGGACCAGATGTCTTCACAGGTGAATTGTATCAAACATTTAGAGAAGAGCTAATATCTATCCTTCTCAAACTCTTCCAAAATATAGCAGAGGGAGGAACACTCCCAAACTCATTCTACAAGGTCACCATCACCCTGATAACCAAACCAGACGAAGATGTCACAAAAAAAGAAAAGTACAGGCAAATATCACTGATGAACATAGATGCAAAAATCCTCAACAAAGTATTAGCAAAGAGAATCCAACAGCACTTTAAAAGGATCATACACCCTGATCAGGTAGGGTTTTCCCAGGAATGCAAGGATTCTTCAATATGCAAATCAATCACTGTGATAAACCATATTAAGAAATTGAAGGAGAAAAACCATATGATCATCTCAATAGATGCAGAAAAATCTTTCGACAAAATTCAACACCGATTTATGATAAAAACCCTCCAGATAGTAGGCATAGAGGGAACTTACCTCAACATAATAAAGGCCATATACGACAAACCCGCAGCCAACATCATTCTCAATGGTGAAAAACTGAAACCATTTCCTGTAAGATCAGGAAGAAGACAAGGTTGTCCACTCTCACCACTATTATTCAACACAGTTTTGGAAGTTTTAGCCACAACAAGCAGAGAAGAAAAAGAAATAAAAGGAATCCAAATTGGAAAAGAAGAAGTAAAACTGTCACTGTTTACAGATGACATGATACTATACATAGAGAATCCTAAAGATGCTACCAGAAAACCACTAGAGCTAAACAATGAATTTGGTAAAGTAGCAGGATACAAAATTAATGCACAGAAATCTCTTGCATTCTTAGCCACTAATGATGGAATATCGAAAGAGAATTTAAGGAAATACTCCCATTTACCGTTGCAACAAAAAGATAAAATACTTAGGGTTAAACCTACCTAAGGAGACAAAAGACCTGTATGCAGAAAACTGTAAGACACTGATGAAAGAAATTAAAGATGATACAAACAGATGGAGAGATATACCATGTTCTTGGATTCAAAGAATCAACATTGTGAAAATGACTATACTACCCAAAGCAATCTACAGATTCAATGCAATCCCTATCAAACTACCAATGGCATTTTTCACAGAACTAGAACAAAAATTTCACAATTTGTATGGAAACACAAAAGACCTTGAATAGCCGAATAGCCAAAGCAATCTTGAGAAAGAAAAACGGAGCTTGAGGAATCAGGCTCCCTTACTTCAGACACTACTACAAAGCTACAGGAATCAAGACAGTGTGGTACTGCCACAAAAAGAGAAATATAGATCAATGGAACAGGATAGAAAGCCCAGAAATAAACCCACGCACATATGGTCACCTTATCTTCAAAGGAGACAAGAATACATAGTGCAGAAAAGACAGCCTCTTCAATAAGTGGTGCTGGGAAAACTGGACAGCTACATGTAAAAGAATGAAATTAGAACACTGCCTAACACCATACACAATAATAAACTTTAAATGGATTAAAGACCTAAATGTAAGGCCAGACACTATAAAACTCTTAGAGGAAAACATAGGCAGAACACTCTATGACATAAATCAGAGCAAGATCCTTTTTGACCCACCTCCTAGAGAAAAGGAAATAAAAACAAAAATAAACAAATGGGACCTAATGAAACTTAAAAGCTTTTGCACAGCAAAGGAAACCAGAAAGAAGACGAAAAGACAACCCTCAGAATGTGAAAAAATATTTGCAAACGAAGCAAGTGACAAAGAATTAATCTCCAAAATATACAAGCAGCTCATGCAGCTCAATATCAAAAGAACAAAACAAGCCAATCCAAAAATGGGCCGAAAGCCTAAACAGACATTTCTCCAAAGAAGATATACAGATTGCCAACAAACACATGAAAGGATGTTCAACATTACTAATTATTAGAGGAATGCAAGTCAAAACTACAATGAGGTATCACCTCACACCGGTCAGAATGGCCATTATCAAAAAGTCTACAAACAATAAATGCTGGAAAGGGTGTGGAGAAAACAGAACCCTCTTGCACTGTTGGTGGGAATGTAAATTGATACAGTCACTATGGAGAACAGTATGGAGGTTCCTTAAAAAACTAAAAATAGAACTACCATACGACCCAGCAATCCCACTACTGTGCATATACCCTGAGAAAACCATAATTCAAAAAGAGTCATGTACCACAATGTTCACAGCAGCTCTATTTACAATAGCCAGGACATGGAAGCAACCTAAGTGTCCATCAACGGATGAATGGATAAAGAAGATGTGGCACATATATACAATGGAATATTACTCTGCCATAAAAAGAAACGAAGTTTTGTTACTTGTAGTGAGGTGGATGGACCTAGAGTCTGTCATACAGAGTGAAGTAAGTCAGAAAGAGAAAAACGAATACCGTATGCTAACACATATGTATGGAATCTAATTTTAAAAAATGGTTCTGAAGAACCTAGGGGCAGGACAGAAATAAAGACACAGATGTGGAAACTGGACTTGAGGACACAGGGAGAGGGAGTCGTGGGCTGGGATGAGATGAGAAAGTGACATGGACGTTTATAGACTACCAAATGTTGAATGGATGGCTGGTGGGAAGCAGCTGCATAGCACAGGGAGATCAGCTCGGTGCTTTGTGACCACCTAGAGGGGTGGGATAGGGAGGCCTGGAGGGAGATGCAAGAGGGAGAGGATATGGGGATATATGTATACATATGGCTGGTTCACTTTGTTATACAGCAGAAGGTAACACACCATTGTAGAGCAATTATACTCCAATAAAGATGCTGAAATTTTTAAAAAAGTAATGTATACTACACAGGGTCTTAAGTTAGCAGTTAAGTATAAATAAGTATAAATTCTATGTTTGTAATACCTAGAACCAAGTGTGGGCACTGATGCTTGGTGTTGTACTGACTGTGACAATAATGGAGGAGACTTTTATCAGGTGAAAAGTAGTTCACACTCCAAGTATACCACTCATGTCCAGAGTTCTGCTTTTTCTAGCCCATGGGCGTATCTTTATAATAGATTAGGTTGGGGAATAGCAGCATATTTTAAAATAGCACCAACGTACCTAGGTTTGGTCTAGGTCATCTAGTAAAGGAACAAGAGGAGCCATGGAAGTGGCTAACCCAGTCAAAGCCTTCCTACATAAGAATAATGTTGATTTTGTCCAGTATCTTTTGGGCCAGGTGAGTCCTACAAGCCCAAAAGACGTTTGGCATCTATGTCACTCTGGCAGCACCCAATGGGATTCCCCCTGTCACCCTCAAACCTGTAACTTCTGTGATCCTGCTATAGCTTTCTTTTCACAGTCTTTAAGGTTCTTTTTTCCAGAAAACTTTTTTTCATTTCTACAATATTGTGATACCCTAATTTTCATTACACATATCTGTTCACTGGGTCTTCTTCATCTCCTTTGTTGTCTTTGCTTCTTCCTTCTACTCCTAATGTCCTTCACTTATTTTTTAATACTTCACAGAAACTACATTTTCTTTTGGCTTCAACAAATACTTGAACCCATTTTAACTTGCCACAAAGCTGGTGTTCCCTTCAACAATTTCCCTAATACCTGACTACCACGTTTATCATCTGAAAGTGCTACTTAAATTATACCATTTCTTCTCTTAGAAATTTATAGTGAAAATATAAATCCCTGTTTTCCCAAACTTATATATCATGGAACCCCCTTTTTAAGCAAACAACCATTAATATCCACAGAAGTAGGGCTCTGACCCAAATTAAATGCCCAAATCACTTTATTAACAATAGTAACTGCTTCCACTTATTGAGCACTTACAATTGTCAGGCACTGAGTTTATTAACATTAACTCATTTAATACTCTTAAAACTCATAACAATGAGGGCAATATTACTAGTATGCCCATTTTAAAGATGAAGGAAATGCATTTAGGGAAGTTATATACTTCCCCAAACTTTCCTAACAGCCTAAATCCTGTGTTCTTAACCCCTAAGCTTAAATTTCAAATTGAATTTCAACTTACTGTGCAGCTCTTTATTGCTTTTACCTCCTTTTTCTCTGCTATTACTTCCTGATGGTGATATTAGCTCTAGCAGTTTCTCCCTACTCCTTTAAGAAAATTTCCACTGACTGTTAAACCATAAAACCAGGTTTATTATTAATTGAATTGTGTGCAAAGTAAGAGTCAGCAGGTTCTAAAAGCCTGACAGGCTCTGCTAAGAGTCCTGTGTATGCCATTTCAGTCACCTAATTTGGCTGCTCAGAGATATTTTTATTAATTATCTTTGTTTGGATTGTAACAGCCTCCTAACTCATCTCCCAAATCTATCTTCCACTCGGCTGCAGGATGAGCTATTTGAATCACAGGTGTGAGCACAGTACTCCCCAGAGTAAAATGTTCCAGTGGTTCCATCTAGAGGATCAAGTCTTTAATATTGTCTGCGTTAAACTTGTCCCTCCAGTCGTGCTTCTAATCCTCCTGTGTACACACACACACCAGGCTCTTTCTTTCCTTTGTGACTTTGTTCTTGCTACCTATCTCCCATGCCTGGAAGCCCTTCTCCATCATTACTTGACTCTTACTCATCCTTTAAGACACAGCTCATGAATCACCTCCTCCAGGAAACAGTCCCTGACAACTTTCCCCAGCTCTCAAATGCTTGCTCAGTATCCCTCTCATTAGGGTCTGTACATATGTCTATTGCTTCAGGTGTACGTTGTTTTTTGAAACTGTCATTTATATTCCTGTGAGATCCTGAAGGATGGAAACTATGTGGCGTAGCAATTTAGCATTCCCAAAGTGGTATATGGTGGTTAATCAGGGTTGTATAAATGAATTTTTAAAATATTTAACTGATACATTTTCCCTATTACCTGAGATACCAAATTGTTAGTAACCAAGTAGTAGCTGGCATACAGCAGGAACTTAATGATACTTGTGAATGGTAAAATGAGTATATAAATGTATTTCAAGACTTTTCATAATCTGATTCCATATAAATATGCACCATTCACTCTAGTCAGACTAGTTTCTTCTCTATTCTTACTTCATCTACAACTTGGGTAAACCTTTAAGCCTTTGCTAATTCTCATTTCTCACTAGGAATACCTAGAGTTGATTCCATAATTATTATGTACCATCCATCAAGAACACCTGCTCCATGCAGCTTCCATTTGTGACTCTGATTTTTTTCTCCTGTCTGGGCAAATATGTCCTAAAGACCATTCCATGGAAAAGTAGTTCTGCAAAATAGTTGTATATGTTACATGAGAAAAGAGTTTTGTAATTAAGTAAATGTTAGGGAATGCTGCATTTAATAATGCTAAATTATTTCTGAATTGCAGTGGTGTACATTTTGAGTCTCTATGTGGAATAAACCATATGCAGAATTTATCAAACTTATTTGCCCTCAGAACCCTTTTCATTTTAAAATCTCTTGGGACCATGTTCTATGGGAGATAGTTTGGGAAATGCCGGTCTGTGCTTTGAGTTTTAGGTCAGCATGTAACTTGTGAGCGCACACACACTCATGTACATACAAATACATACTATTTCAGGAACATATGTTTTGGCTGCTCTGCTTAGTTGCTTATATTTTTCTTGTGTCTCATATTTTTTGATTCATGTAATGACTCACCTTCCACTGATAACTACAGATTTTTTAATATTTGATTGCTAAACCATTGTATACTATTGTCATTAAGTGCAGGTTATTGGTATGTTTTCTAGGATCTTCTACCCCTGTTGCCTGGCACCATTGCTGGTGAAATAGAATCAAAGGCTGCAAACCTCAATAATCTGGTTGTAGAAGCCTATAAGGTATGTATATACTGTACACATTTTTTCAAATAAACTTTTAACCCCAATTTCCATGGCAAGGTACAAACTAATGCCCTATCATCTTGAGAGGAGTGGTGGAAAAAACAGATTAGGAATTAGGAAACTGAGCTTAGCCCTGGGTCTACCACTAACTAGTTATAGAACCTTGGGAAAGTCATTTCAGCTTTCTGTGCTTCACTATGTCTCAATGACACAGTTTACTAAACTCAGGTTGAGCTACAGACTATCTAAATTTCCTTCCTCATCAAATGTTCAGTGAGTCACCAAATCACAGCTATAGAATATACTTTATTACCAAGAAATTTCACAATTTCCAGTGCCATAAAGATAAAGTAATCAATCCACAGTGTTATTTAAACAGCAACTTTCCAGGGAAAATGAACTATATGAGATATAGAGATTACTAAGAGAACTTTGTTGGGGTCTCCTAGATCAATCACTTGGTTGTTCGGTCATTTACTTTAGCAGTTTTACTAAACTAGTTTGATTAAAAGAATCATCCTAAGAGATACACTACTTTATTGAGATGACAGTTGTATGCTGTCCCCAGTTCGTGTAGAGTGGGTACCAAATGCAAAGATTTAAGAAACATCTGCTCTCTCAATCTAAGTCATTTCTGGATAGAATAATCTCTTTTAAGAAGTTGTAATAATAGTAGCTGTCATTTTAATACCACTAAGAACCAATTATTTTCCATACATGACCTCATTTAATCCACACAACCGACCTATAAGGCAAGTATTAGTACTCCCACTGTGTATTTGTAGAACTTCAAAGAAGCTAAGCAAATCAATCAAAGGCAAACAGCTAACAAGCAGAAGCAGCAGCACCAGAACCTAGGTCTTCCTTAATTCTAGCTTCCAGGTGCTTCCTCCTGTGTTACACAATCTGTTTTTCTGTTGTTGTTTTTTCTTTTTTACATAGTGTCTAAAGATATGCTTTATTCTACCCTGAATTTATGCACCATTGATAAACTCTCACTTCCCAAAATTCTCTTTTTCCCTTCCTGACACAGTAGAGTTGAACAGTGTTAAAGTAGCCCAAGCATTGTGAGAAATCGCAGGCTTCTCTTCTCATTTTCTTCATGGAACATCTGCCTTCGACTCAATTACAAAAGAGAAAGGCAGGAAGTAGACACGGGATAGAAAATGAAGGACTTGTTTAAACTTTCTTTTTTTAAAAGGAAAATAAACCTTGCGAGATTTTTTTGTTTTTGTGTTTTTTGCCAAGGAATTTTTCTATATCTGAAGACTATGTTGGATGAAATAAGAAAAGCATTTTTAATTATATTTCTTCTTCACTGTTACGAAACAAAAACAAAAAACATTAGGACTGGTGGAGCTTCTTATCAAGGAAAACCAAACCTATGTACAATTCGTTCCCATCCGAAGTTTGTTCCCAAGTATAATCAAAATAAGAAAGGAGCTTACAGTGTTAGAAGTCACCCTAGTTTTCATAGTATGAACCCATTTATTACCCCAAAGAAAAAATATAAGTCGACAAACTTTCCTGTATCTCAAACTGCACCCATGGAAAGGGAAACAGCAGTTTTTTTTTTCATGTTCTTTATTTGCTAGGAGAGGTATGTGATGCATTATCTAATTGCAGTTCTGATTAACCTTAAACAATCTGAATAACAATTTTAATAAAACCAACAAAAACTCTGGCGAAACAATCTCCTTAAGTTGGGGTTCTGTTATTATTTTATATATGTCTATACTTTCAAAATTCTTCTGAAATTTCATTTTGTCTTCACAGCTCAACAGAAACTGTTCACAGTTCATTGAAGAAAAAAATAATAGAAATATTTTATTCTAACTTTTAATACTTTGCATTTCCTTTTTAAGACTTTTATAAAATTATATACAAATTTAGTACAGGTGAATGTGATTGCATTTTGTTTTTTATCCTTTACATCTGCATTGCCATTAGAATTAAAACTATATAAAAATCATGACTATAATAACTTAATAGTAATTTAGCTGAAATTAAGACAGAAAAAAAATTATGTTGAATAAAAAATAATTATACATTAGAAAAAATAAATTCTGCCTCTGTTCCTGTTAGATATTAAAAGACAAGCTTAAGACTGTGTCTGAAACTTAATTTCTTTTTTTTGCGGTACGCGGGCCTCTCACTGTTGTGGCCTCTCCCATTGCGGAGCACAGGCTCCGGACGCGCAGGCTCAGCGGCCATGGCTCACGGGCCCAGCCGCTCCGCGGCATGTGGGATCTTCCCAGACCAGGGCACTAACCCGTGTCCCCTGCATCGGCAGACGGACTCTCAACCACTGCGCCACCAGGGAAGCCCTGAAACTTAATTTCTTAATCTCAAAACTGGGCAAAATTTTAGCTATTTGTCTTCATACCCTGTTTGAAAAACATTGGTTAAACTAGATTAAGGTTTTAAGGGAAGCAGAATTTCAAAAGGGCAAAAAGAACAGTCATGGTATTAGGAACTTCCTTCTGATTTGTCAAACCAACCATATCAATACCATTTGTATACCATTAGAAGTTTCTATTTTTTACTGAAATTGTTTAATTAAGTGATTACAATGTACGAATTCTCTAGTAGATAAAAAATGTGACTAATGTAGTCTTACCTTTATTCAAATAAAATTTGAGGAAGTATCTTACTCTAAAGATTTACTACCATAATTCCATGATCAATTATTAATCAGTAAGCACACATCTCTTTATTGATTATACAGTTGAAGAAGAAAAATTACTCAAGTAAAGAATTAGAAACCATGGGGATTTCTTTTTCCTTCACACCCTGCTACTCACTCTTTCCTTAGGTACATACTTCATCTTTTCCCTTTCCTTTTGTTTACAAAAATAAGTTAAGGATTTTTGCATGTGATAGACTCTTAGTTTTATGAGATGAAATTCACACAGATCTACAGAATATATTTAATGTAGCAAGAACTTTTGGAACCCAGAGATTGGATGAAATTAGGATGTGCTTGATACATAATAGGCAATACATACATGTTTTTTGAATGATTATATAAATTAGTGAATAAATGAGCAAATGATTTTCTGCCCAGTAAGGGGCCCTATTTCAGTATTAAGGATTGGAACAAATTTGATTGACATAAGCAAGCACCAGGGATTTGGCAAAAATTCTAGGCCATTCTTGGAGAATTTATAGAGCCATAACTGGCAGGTATTTCTTATACCTACAGTATAGAAATGCCCTCCCCAAAATTTACCTTTCAATTCTGTATCAGTAAGGCAGTTTAGCTTTCATGATAGTCTAAAATGTTTGAAACGGAAATGCTTCTTTAACAGCTGTAAATGTCAGAAGCATGTTCCAGATTTTAAGCTGTCAAGATTTAGCCTCTGTGATGATATATGTATTCTCAATGCTTTATTTAAATTTTACCAAAAAATATAAATGTTATTGGATTAAAATGATTATTTTCCTAACAAGCTGAGTGAGAAATATCTCTGAAGTGATCAAAATGCAGTCATGGAAATATGTGAAAAAATAGAGCCATTTAAATGCAGATAATCCTTCAGTATTTTTTATGTATTTCAAATGTAATTGGGTCATTATGTGGAAACACTGTTTTTAATCGACCTTTTACAGAGACAACTCTTTGATTTAGTTAAAAATTAAATCTAGAATGACATGATAAACTTGACTCTGTTTTGTTGCTTACATTAGAAACTGCTATAGTATACAACTAAAAAATGTCATCTCTACAGAAACTCATTTCAGAAGTTAAAGTTCAGGTGGAAAACCAGATAAAAGGCATCTATTTTAACATTACTGCCATCTGTCCAGATGGGAGCAGAAAGCCAGGCACAGACGGATGCGGAAATGTGACAAGCAATGACGAAGTATGTGCATGTGCGTTTTTCCCATTTAAAGTAAACTAAGTTGTTTGGCATGCTTTCTTACAGAAAAATCAAACCATTCAGAAAAACTTTTTTTACTACCGACCTCAAGAATCTCATTTACACTTCAAAGTAACTTTTATTATCTAATCCCTAAGTTCCTACTTGTTGTAACTCCATTGACTGTTTTCTCAAACTCTCTAGTTAAAATAAATAAATATATATCATATTAAATAATTATTTAATAATAATAACTTTAAACTTAGATGACACAGCCAGTGAATGTTAGGAAATCATATCTCCTCAAACAAGAAGTGCCTATACTTAGGATGATGATAATACCTTTTTGTTTCAAATCTGAAAATTCTCAGAGTAAATGTGAAAGTTGAAAGTAAAAACGACAGAGAAGAATGCTGTTGATAAAGATTAAGAATTACAAAATCTTTCACTTTGTGATTGTCCCAGTACACTTGTATTAGCTCAATACAATGACCTACGAGGTAGGGAAATTTGTTAAGAGCAACAACAACGACAAAAAAGTGTCATCATTTAACTAAAAAGGAATGAGATATGGAAAAGAGAGATCCAGATTATAGCAGCATCAGGAAATAGGACTGGGGAAGATACGGATTCTCCCAGGATTGGCACAATAGAAAGTAAATATACAGAAATATGCTTTTAAAAGAAATTCTTGTAGAATGAAGTGATTTTCAGTGAGTCATTTACCTCTTGAGGCATCAGTTGCCTCATTTTTAAATAAACAGCTAGAACTAGAAGATTTCCAATCCTACCTCCATCCATCTCCAAGGTTCTATGATGTTATTATTTTAATATCATGCTATAGACAAAAAGAAAAAGTTACTGAAAGAGATTAAAAATCCTAGTATTCTAAGGTTGAATAAAGGAGAAACTTCCTTCTCTTTAGTTAGAATGTAATTTTCTCTCTTGGGAAGTTTAGAATCTGCAGGTAGTATAGTTGTTCCAACAAGCTGTATATTTGAAATTAATTATTTCAAATTCAAATTCTGTAGGCTCCTCCATAATCACTCCTTGAATTTTGTTCAAAAGATATTTTATGCCAGTTTACAAAATACATATTTAATTTCCACTGAATATAGAGAAACTTTGTGCTAGCAAAAGATAGTGCTAAGTTAGTTTCTGAGAAAAGGTTACCTTTTTAGAAGTAGCTCTTTCTTTCAAAACCGATTTTGGCAGAATGGTTTTCCTTACTCCTTACATTTTTTTTTCTTTTTCTTTGTCCACATCCCTTTTTTCCCTCACTTTCAACCAAGTAGTATAAACAGTTTGACTAAGGAAGAGTCATTTGACCACTTAATCGTATAAACCCCAAGTTTTGCTCTATTAATATTGGCAGTTGACCACATTATCCTACAGTCTGTTAATCCTTATATTTTTAAAGAGAAAAAACATTTCAAGTCTGACACCAACTGTATTGATTTTAATATTATGAGACTAATTCTAATTCCGAATGGATATATATATAACGTATAAACCTAAATTTAGACCTTTCATATCAGTGTGTATATTTGTGCTAGGCTTTTTGGTTGGGATGGATATCTATCTATCTATATCTATATACACATACATATATATATAGAGAGAGAGAGAGAGAGAGCGTGAATCTCTATATATTCATATATATATCTATCTCTATATATTCATCCATATCTATTATCATCTATCTATCTAATCTAACTCCATCCCAACCAAAAAGCCTAGCACAAAGTATTTTTAAATTGTAACTTATCTCAGTCTAATATGGAAAAAAAACATGTAACCTTCTTATTTGCCAAAGTACCTGAAGATCATAAGGTGAGCTAACAAATATAAATAGACACACTAAGCCAATTGTGTTGTACAGGAAGGCAAAATAGAGAAAAAGAAAAAATTTGGCAGGAGAAAGACATTCTGTAGTTTGCATGGGAGAAACCAATTCCTGCCAGGCCAGATCCTTAGTTGTGGACTAACATCTTCCAGTGAGACAAATGTATGACCTTTTATTGAGATCTTAAGATCTAAAAGTGAGAATCCTAAATCTTTTTCCCTTGAGTAACATCAGGGAAAGCCCCATATTTTCTTCATAACACCATGTATAAACTAAGATTTAACTCTAAAGTTACTTGGGCCCCTGGAAAACAGAAACAAAATAAAAATTGTTCATTTGAACAATTGTTCATCTCAGGGTTTTAAACCAGTAGAGCAGAAGCTCTTGACTTTACTTTATTTGATCTATCTTTAGTGCCAAATATATTCAGTAACTCCACATGTTAAGGACTGAATCCAGAAAATGGTCTATTCTCTCTCAAGTTTACTAAGAAGTCAGTTGAGGATATAAATTAATGATCGGAAGTAGAGTACACATTTCAAATAGGCTTGAACCCATGTCCATTTAATGCTGTAATACAGGCAAGTCTCAGTCATTGCATCCTTTAACTCTCCAGTTCATTAATTAGGAAATAAATGAAATTAAAAAGGAATGTTATGTCTACATATGAGCGTGCATGTGTAATTTATAAATATTAATTTATATAAGATGGTATATTATTGACTTAAATATTAACAGATATAATATTGGTAATAAAAATTATCAAGACATATAAATATATTTTCTTCCTCCCCACCCAAATATTTAGGTTCTTTTCAATGTAACAGTTACAATGGAAAAATGTGATGTCATGGAAGGAAAGAGCTATGCAATAATCAAACCTATTGGTTTCAATGAAACCACTAAAATTCATATACATAGAAACTGCAGCTGTCGGTGTGATGACAGCAGAGGACCTAAAAGAAAGTGTATAGAAGAAACTTTTCTAGATGCCAAGTGCTTCCAGTGTGATGAGAATAAATGTCATTTTGATGAAGATCAATTTCCTTCTGAAAGTTGCAAGTCACACAAGGATCAACCGGCTTGCAGCAGTAGAGGAGTTTGTATTTGTGGGAAATGTTTATGTCACAAAATTAAGCTTGGAAAAGTGTATGGAAAATACTGTGAAAAAGATGACTTTTCTTGTCCATATCACCATGGAAATCTGTGTGCTGGTGAGTATAAGTATGTACATGCAGTTATTTATATAGTTATATATTAAACTAGCATATATGCTAAAGTATCTTTAAATCACATCTTTATAATTACCAACTTTGAATATGAATTTAATATTCAAACTTTCAAAGTCTGTGAAATTAGGACATAGCTACAGATTTATAGTACATGATTCTGATATTTATAGTTTAAATTATTTTATACAGGAAATATTTAAAAATTAGAACCAAAAGTTAATTGTTATTTTCAAGTATGCCTTGATCTTGTAAAGACATATACCAGAAAAGGAAATTACTGATAATGTCTGACAGATTTTCTATAATCTGGGTATTCTTCTAGAAGGATCTGATTCATTCTCATAAGTGGTTACTCCCTCAGTCTTGCTCAGAGGATAGTTAGCTATAAAAATATACTTTTCATTCACTGTAAAATTCTTAATGCATTATCATAGATGGCATTGTAAATCTGTAGTAATTTAAATTTCTCTAGTTTATTTTTGGAACAACGCCAGCAACAAAACTGTCAAAGGACAGAATTCTTCAAGAAAATGCTGGTTTCATAAGAAATCTAGATTAGGCCCAGAGGCCACACAAAGACCGGATTTAAAAATGAGATAATTTAAAATGAAAATATCAAAAGTACTTTTTGGCTAATTCAGTTTACTGCCACCTAGAGGTTAGATTCTAGAAAATATATGCAACATTTGAAAATTAATACAAAATATTATTTTTAAATGAATTAATTTTTCTGTGACAGTGTGCTAAATCCACTTATTGTTAAAGCACCTTTTTAAAGTTTGCATTTTGGTAAGCAAATATTAAATTATTGATGAAATGAAATATTTCATTGTAATAAGCATATGGGAAGTAACAAACCTATACAAAATAAATTTTTATTCTTGTGTAAATTAAAAATGTACCCTATATCACATAAATATGTGATGGCAAATTTCCTTTATATTCTATCTTATACACATAATATTTTATATTCTAAACATTTATTCAGCTGTACCTGGTATCTAGGTAGAATGGATTATAGATGACTTTAGAACAAACTGCAATTGTCATCTAATATTTTAGTGTTAATCCTGTTTGGGACAGGGCAGAAAAAGAATTCTGAGATCATCATTTCCCACAGCTGTCAAGCTCTCAATGAACTTTGAAATACACTGAGAATCCCAGTCTCTGTTAATAGTAGAATATTAAAAATCAATGTACTGGTCCTTCTATATGACTATGATACTACTGACCTACAGGCAGTTGAGAATCTGCTTTGAATTATTTGTATATAAGTTATAAATGCAAACTGTAGGCTGACAAGCATTTTCTTCACTAGCGTCCTTTGAGAATAAGAACACATGATCACAGATCTGCTGGCTAGGATTAGGCATGCAGCCCATATACAGGGAACCGGGTCTGGCAGGCATTTGTTTGGCCTGGATATCATTAGTTTTACATTTAACAAATTGAGCTGATCCAACAGTAGATGCTATGGAACAGTTACCCTGTGAGGTGCTCCACAATAAAAGGAAGGAGGGAGGAAGCCAGGAATTGAGGGAAGGAAGGAAAGGAGGAAGAGAAGGAGGGAGGGAGGAAAAGAGAGAGGGAAAGAGGAGAAAGGAAGGAAAGAAGGAAGGAAGGGAAAGTCTTTGGCCAGATAAACTTGAAAAACATTTTACAGCCCTGAAAATTTACCCTCTCTTGAAGATTTCTAGTTCACATTAGCATATTAAATCTTGGATACTTCCTGCAGGCTAAAATCCACTTAACTGAGTATCATCAGTGTTCTTCCTCAACTACAACATGCACACACATACCACCTTGCTTTCCTTCTTGCCTTCTCTCATTTAACACCTAATAACACCTCACAGCATACTTTAAGACATGTCCCACAAACCTGCTAAATAATGTGCTGAAGATGTGAAAGGATTACTTCAACTTCCCCAGAGATCTTATCTTTAAACAAGGCACTAGCAGAACTGAAGCACTTAAAAGGGTTTGCCAAATAGACCTTCAAAGTTATCCCAGGCCCTGAGCAATAATGAGTGACTAAGAGAAAAATTATGGAAGCTATTCATAAAATACCCGTTTTTCAAATTTCAAATCAGACAACATTACGTCAGCCTCTGTAGCTTCTTTATATTTGTCTTTTTAATTTAAAACTGAATGTACAGCGACCTTCAAGTAGTTGGGCAGCCACTGCGGCAGGGCAGAATTCACAATTGTCAGCACAATAGATTACCATGGGGAGATTATCTACAACAGAACAGCTTTGAAAATAGACACTCCTAAGTCCTGGCATTGTTTATGTCAGACAAATAGAAAGTGATGCTGTTTCTATTCACTTGACTGTCAGTGTGTTTCCATGGAAATGGAAGGGGAATTCATGTTTGGAAATGCTTCACAAAGTCAGTGACCTCAATAACTTAGGTCTTGGAGTGTCTTTGTTGCAGGGCATGGAGAGTGTGAGGCAGGCAAATGCCAGTGCTTCAGGGGCTGGGAAGGGGATCGGTGCCAGTGCCCATCAGCATCTGCCCAGCACTGTGTCAGTCCAAAAGGCCAAGTGTGTAGTGGAAGAGGCACATGTGTATGTGGCAGGTGTGAGTGCACCGATCCCAGGAGCATCGGCCGCTTCTGTGAACATTGTCCCACATGTCACACAGCCTGCAATGAAAACTGGTATGTGTTTCCTGATTCCAAACATACATAAAGCAGTCCTTCATTATATTCATGTTCGACCTTTTCTATTTTGCCTACCTTAACCTAAAAGCCGGATCTTCTCCAGATAAATTGTTATCATCACGCTAAAAAAGAACTGAATGAGGAATTTAGGAATTAGAAGACTTAGATTCCAATCTTTGGCCATGCATGAAAATTTATCTAGGTATTCACTGCCTTTTTTGAAATAGGTGTTTTTTTTAAAGAATAATATTCAGTGTTCATAAGCTTCATTGGTTTTTTTTTTTCCCCAGCTTTTTTGAGATATAATTGACATATAACCTCGTGTAAGTTTAAGATGTACGATGTGATGATTTAGGGGCTGCCTGCTTCCCAACTTACTATTAATTAGCTGTTTAATCTAGGGCAAGATTTTTTAAATTCTTTGTGCCTCAGTTTCGTGATATTAAAAGTGAGGATAATAATAATACTGTGGTATAATTCTGTGAAATAATTAAATTAGATGTTCATGCAAAAAATACCTAAACCTTTGTACTTGGTGCATAGTAATCATAGAATAAATGTTAGCTGTTATTATTGTTTTATTCTTTTAAAGATAAAAAGTGGTGGCTATGAAGCACTCTAGAAAGAAGTGATGGATAAGGGAAAGGTGATGTTAAATAATGGTGGCATTGTTGTTTTGTGCCAATAATTAATTTTCCAATAACAATTTGAGTCCTGCTCAAAGACCACTACTCAGAATATCACTGTGCCTTACAATTTGTTTTATTCAATTTTTAAAAAGACATTCTCAAGTAAAATTTTTTAAATTATGCATTGTAGGTTATGTAACACACTAGGAAGATAACGATGGAGTGATGGAGGTATTTCTAATGAACCCAACCAAAATTTGAACTGTATGTTCATTGCTAAATTTTTCTAGTAGTATCATAATATTCATCTTCTAAAACATCTGTGCTAGCTGGTTTTGTTTTTGATTTTGCAGTGAGAGTATCTTATTCATTTCCTAGAGATTTTCTTCTCAGTACAGAAAAATCATTATGTTGATTTTATACATTAAAATATTTTAAGTGGTTAGAATGTAACTTTGCCATGGTATTAAATTCAGCCAAGATTACAAATAAATGTCATAGTTTTCTTTCCCAGTTTTACAATTCTGCTGTCCTAAAGCAGTACCCTATTTTATTTTTTACAGAAAATACTACAGGCTACAACATTTTAAAAAATTAAATGTTTTCACTTCTGTTTCCCCTTACAGGAATTGTGTGCAATGCCTTCACCCTCACAATCTGTCTCAAGCTATACTTGATCGGTGTAAAACCTCATGTACTCTCAAGGAACAGCATTATGTGGACCAAACATCAGGTAAACAAAAGGTTAATAATCAAAGTACTGAAGAGTATCTGCAGAGAATCATATTCCCTAAAAAGGCTCATAATCAACCATCCTAAAGAAAGAACTAACTGCTTCAATGTTTTCAACCTCCAAGAAATAGTGCTCTATAAAACCAGCTGAGGATATTTGCCATGGTATGGCTGAATTGCTAGATCTCCCACCTAACAATTAAACTACCATCTCAACTACCCAGCTAAATTCGCATGCTGTGCACCTCCATGGAAGTATACCAAACAGATTTTCTAGAGAGACCTCAGTGAGCCAAGAATAGGAGTTTCCTAAGTAGAGTCCATTTCACCCTTAGAGACAAGGTCTATGGAGCCATCATTACCCTTCACAATCCAAACTTGTTTCCAGTTATAACCTTCCTCATGTCAAACGAACATTTACTTTCATGTTTCAGGTGACGCCAAAAAATTCTAAGTAGCAATGATTTAATTTTGCAAAGTACATAATTTCAAAAGGGCCATTCCTCCCTGATAATTTTCATTCTGATATAAATATAATTTAGGGGTGAATGAATATAAAGGTGGCACAATGGAAAGGGTATGGAAATTTTAGTCTGAAAACCTTAGCTTAAGGCATGTCTCCTGACACTACTAACTAAGAAATATCAGCCCTCTTACAAAATTTCACTGAGCCTCAGTTTCCTCATCTGTAAAATGGAGATAATAATACCAACCTCAAAGAGCTGTATGGATTAAATGAGCCAGTGAACATGAAAAAACTTTTTCAGTTAAAAGATGATATATGAATGGAAGAAACGTGAAAGCTGCGTTCAAAGATCATTTTGGACAAAAGTTCATTAGAACTCAAAAGCCAGCACCCCCATTTTGTTCAGGTTTAAGGTGTTAAACTATATAAGAATTAGAAATGAAGCTTGAAATTATGCATTCATTAAAATGTTCCTACTGCTACTACTATTTCTTGTCTTTCCTCTAACCTGTAAGAATAATTCCAGGTCTTAGAGAGATTGCACAGGAGAATAAACTTTCTCCAGAGTTTTGTTTCCCTCTCCCCTCATATCCACACTAATCTTAGCCCATAATAAATTTGGCTTTGAAAAGAGCCCATGTGCTGCCAGCTGGGGCTGCAGCAATCACACCCCAAAGCCAAGTGCCTTTTCTAATAAATAAAGCTCTTATTGTCAACATGTAATTTATTATGTTAAGGAAACAAACCTATTCTGACCTAAGTGTGGTTACAAAAAGTATTCCCTTAAAGCTCCTTAGGAAAAGCCCTTGCTTGACCTAAACTAAGAAAAGAGGCATGGCCAGGGCTAAATTTTTGGCTCTCCAAATTTTGAAATTTAAAAATGCATGCAGATTTGAGCCCCAAAAATGTCCATTAGAAATATTTGTAAAATGTATTAGAAGCTAGGGGGCTACCCTCCCCTTCACAACTATTGTGCAAGGAGAGGGAAAGGGCATTTGTTAGCCATCTCTATTATCTATCCACTTGATCACACTTAAAGGGTGTTCTTTTGGTCTTTCTGGCTAAGCTCCTACTAGGCAAGAAGCCATTAAGTGAGATCAAGCCACATGCCACCTTAGCTGATTAAGTATTCTAAGTCAGCCAAGGGAAATGAAAGGCATGCATGTCACAAACCTGGGCACCACCAAGGGTACCACTTTTGAACAGAGCATGCTGGATTCTCTCTGCATGTGAGACCATAACAAAGGGAGACTTGCACTTGCATCTGGTGCTTCTATTCCAGTTAGTAGTCCTCCAGCCTCCTTTTAGCATTTCTTTCAAGGAACCTTATCACTATGACCAAGAGAAAACTGGGCTCTAAGTCTTCACACTTAGAGAAGAGCCCCTGCCCTTGTTACTGAATTCTTGGCGTATTCAAGAGCAATGCTTGGTCATCCCTGGGATTTCAGACACAAATCACTCATGAGTGACTGTTCTTCTAAGCCTTGGCAGGTCCCCTCCCAAAAGGCATTCTCAAGGAGACCTTCAGACAGTTAGGTGAAGTCCCCAAAGTCTGGAGGATGCACGGAAAACACATGCTTCTTTAGGCCAGGAGATAATTTTGTGAGTGTGGGGCAGCTGGTGAGTTCTGTGGAGTACTTGTGTATTATGCAACCATGTTCCTCTTAGATTAGGGTAATACCTCTGGCAGGCACAGAGCCTGCAGAATTTCCAACTAGAGTTTGCCAAAGGTCTAGGGCTAAAACAGAGACCTAGAATGCCCCTCCTCTTAATGTAGCATTTCCTTTTCCAGCTAGTAATTATCTGTCCTTGAAAAAACAAAAAGCAGGATTTTTAGAAGCAAAATAGGATAGATGTGGTTAACAGACAAGTAAAAAATAAATTAATAACAATTGAGGAAAGAGATTTGGGTATTGTCCCAAATTATACACTCCCATTTCCTAGAGAAGCTATGTGTAATAATAATGAAAACTTACACTGCAGTTTCAAAGGAAATATTTATTCATCTATTAGAGTAGTACTGATTTTAGCTTCTGCAGATGTTTACTTTATTTTCCATTACTGATGTGTAACAAATGAGGAGTAAGCATAACAAGAAAAACATACGTTAATGCACGGAGCTGTTAAATAATTTTTTAAATCCCATTTTCCACTTAGTGATGCACACCACGCCAAAATACTGTCCCTCTCTCTGTCATGGATAAAATTATATTTGGTTAAGGGATTTGGACATATTCCAGTTAGTACAAATAAAGAATCAAGCTGCAAAGAAATAATCTTATTGAATACCTTAATTGTGGCTATTCTCCAAAGGAGAGTTTTCTGTTGAAAAGATTTGAATAATAAATGTGTAATAATAATTAGTTTACTTCTTGAATCAACAATAATGGCAGTCCTCTATTTTGAAAATGTAGATTTGCAAATATCTCTAATCCTACTGAGATGATGAACATTATTTACTTCTAACATTATTGTTAGAACCCTTTGATTTACTCATTCCAGTTTTTTAAACCATTTATTCGTTTGCTTCTTTACAGAATGTTTCTCTAGCCCAAGCTACTTGAGGATATTTTTCATCATCTTCATAGTTACATTCTTGATTGGGTTGCTTAAAGTCCTTATTATTAGACAGGTGATACTACAATGGAATAGTAATAAAATTAAGTCCTCGGCAGATTACAGGGTGTCAGCCTCAAAAAAGGTCAGTGAATTCTAAAAAAGAAATACTTTCAGTATGTTTTTGTCTACTTTCAATATTTAGGCACTTAATTAATGATAATATTTCTTCTCCATCAAGGACAAGTTGATTCTGCAAGGCGTTTGCACAAGAGCAGTAACCTACCGACGTGAGAAACCTGAAGAAATAAAAATGGACATTAGCAAATTAAACACTCATGAAACTTTCAGGTGCAACTTCTAAAAAGATAAAAAAGTACTTTATGGGAAACTGGATTTTTAATGATCGCTCCTAAAAATTATTATTATAAAATAATAATTTTATAAGTCACAGGAGGAGATAAATTTTCTAGATCATGCCAGTTGCTGGTTGTCCACTCGAATGAAGACTGACAAGCATCCTCATCATCATGTGACTCACACTGCTGCTGAATTCTTCAGAGAAAAATGTGTCTTACTACTGTTTGATACTAGTATCATTGTAGCACTTTACTGTAATATATAACTTATTTAGATCAGCATAGAATGTAGATCATCTGAAGAGCACTGATTACACTTTACAGATACCCGCCATTTCTACACTTCCCAGAGAGACAATGCTGTGAGACAGTTTTGGCATTGTGTCACTACAAGGGTACAGTAATCCCTGCACCAAACATGCAGATGAAAAAATAATACGGCAGTTATACTAATGTTGCCAAACACTTTAACAATTGGCAGTGAATAGACAAGAACAGATAGATGAGTAGATGATTAGTGTTTCACTCATTCAAGAGATGAACAGATAAAACCTTAATCTTGAGGGATATTGCTTTTGAAACTAGTTTCATGCATGTGTGTTTGTTTTCTTCTTTTACAAGATGGATATTAATTCTAACATTCTTTCCTCTTCGCCTTTATATTTTGGTTTTCTTTCTTACAGGATAAGTTTATATAATGTCACAGATGACTGGATTAAATAAGTGCTAAGTTACTACTGCCATAAAACCTAATAATAATACAATGTCACTTTATTAGAATACTTTTAAAAGCCGAACATTTAATAAGGGACACTTCAAGTATCATCAAAATTTGAACAGCTTCGTTGTGTGCAGATGTGGAGTTTTATATCTTCTTACCTGGTAAACTGGATGGATTATTTCACCATTTCATTTGTCTAATCATCAGGTTGAAATTCATGAGATATTTAGAAACTCTGCAAAGTTTCTAAGCAAAGTGTCACACTTTTGAGTCTTCTCCAATATTTATTCCAAGTAGATAGTAGCATTTTTCAAATTAAAAGCTAAATTAAGCTATATTATTTTTGCCCTTCAATGCAGTCTAAGGACATTCTTTCTTTGAATCACCTCAACCCTACTCACCAGAATTCTAAAAGTACACAATTGGAGGAGGATAGACAATATCTTAGAAATAAGCTAATTCACTCTTGTACTTGGAGAACTGAGGCTCAGCAAGTTTAAATGATTTCTCAAAAACCCCTAAGTGACCAAGTGGCAACATTCAAAGAGAACTATTTTCTTATTGCCAGGCCAGTGTTCATTGAACAATGTCATACTACCTCTTGAAACTTTAAAATAATCAATTGGCAAGTATTTTTAGATGTGATTTACTGAAGTCTTAAGTATAAGAAAATTTCAAAACAAAGCAGAAAAAAGTAATTCAAACAGAATTGTCCATGGTTGGCTTCCAGTCTATCTGCTAATCAGCTTCTAAGAGACTGCAAAATAGCCTAACTAGGGGGAAGTCCATTCACACCATAGCCTGTGTGAACGGCGCCCCGTGGAGTTGTGCAGTGCTCCGTGCTCAGCCAGAGAGCTTGATACAGACAGAGGCCATGAACCTTTATCCTCCCCAACAGGAACTTCATCACAATTACCATATCCTTAAAGACTTATTCAGTCTGATTTTATTGGCTAGAAGTCCAACAGTCCTGTATGCAGTACAGAGCTTTGCCTATGACAACTAAGGAATTTATTTTAAATTCCTTTAAAATGTCTTCTTATAATCAGCTTCCCAGACTTTCTGTCTTCCAGCACTTGAGTTAAAGTGCCAGATATTTGCATTTAGATGAAGACTAAATCCCACTCCATATTCTACCCTAAAGAGGATTTAAAAACATAAAATAAGTTGTTCTGCAGCCAACAAACACAATAACTCCATCAGCTGTCCCCTGCAGCCAAGCAATTATGATGCTAGGTTGAACTCTATGTCTTTCCCCAAATGAGAAATCAGCAGCATTGACATAATTCAGTACTGTGACTCACTTATGTAAAATACCTTTGATCACCAATGATAATGCAAAACTTCTTTTTGAAGCATGCCTGTCACAGCATCCTTTTTAAAAAAGAAAATAAATGGATATTTGACAGCCCCAAAAAGGAAAAAGTGGAAAATATCCATTCACTGAAATGCTGAAAATTTTAAAACATTTTAAAATTTTAAAACATTATGATGTTCATAAGCTAATTTCTATGTGGGCTGAGTTATCCAAAATAGCATAATAAAATGAAATTCTTAAAATAAAGGGATATATATTTTGACACTCTCACTAGTTTGCACTAATTTATAGTGGAACAAGGCTCTTCTCACAGGAAGGGACAAACTTTCTGATAGGCAGTTCAATGCTAGATGATGACTGCAGTTATGCTTGTGATGTCTTGTGCTTTCCTTTTTTACTTAAAGGTCTAATTCTTAAAAGATTTTAGAGCTTATATTTACTTGAATAATTGACATTTTCCTTGTGAGAAAAGAATTAATATTTGACTAGCTAGAATTAATTAAAAGTTAAGGGAAACAGGGTATTCTTAGATTAAATAATTTATGTAAATAAAGCCTATTTTCAACTAATATGAACACAGGAGCCTTTTGAGATTCACTGATATTAAACACGAGTTATGAAACTTTAAATGATTAACAAAGTTAAGAACTTCAACAACACTTTTGGTACGACAGCATTTCTGTGCCCTAAAGTATTTCATGATTTAGAAATGTGCCATATATGCACTACAATATAACTGTATGCATTTTACTTCTCTGGGGATATCTTTACACTGCAGTGTACATGCATTTATAAGCATCTGATATCTTTTTTTTTGAAATTTATTAATATTTATGAAGTCTCAGACATTCTCTGAAACACTCAGAAATTCACTAAAACTCTGATTATGTCCTAAATGTTTAATTTAGCTTTGGTTTATAAAGATAAAAAAAAAAAATCTAAGGTTAAACAGATTTCTCTGGAGGCAAATTTTTCAAAATTCAAAATTAAAATTAGTGGATGCATCAGATGCAACACTTCACTAAAGAATAAATTTCAAAATTTTTTAATATACACTTAATATCTATTGAAGATATTCTTATGTATGACGATGGGCATCTATAAGATGTTGAAATATGATTATGATGGACTATGAAAATTTTTCTCCTTAGAATTATGTTCCTCCTGGTACCTGATATAGTAAGTTAAACTCAATGGCTTTTCCTTCCTTTCCTTACTCCTGTTCTTTTCTATTCATTTTTCCTAAGAGAGTGCCCCAAAACTTCAAGCTCAATAAGCCTAATTGTGAAAAATAACTGACTGTAATGGTATAATGAAGTTCTTCATTTCCATACATCTCTTAATGATTTTAAAAGTTATTTGAATCTGTGCACCTGAACAAAGACCCATTAAAAATGAAGAATTTTAAATTTTTACAACTGTTCGACTTCTTTCAATTTTAAAGGATTTGAGATCTATATATTTTAATAAAAGTATCAAGTGAAATACAACCACTTGGGAGTTCAATCATGTGCATATTATATTGTTTTATTTACTCTTAACATTTAATTTACAACTATCCTTATTTATATCGACCTTAAGAACTCCACTTCATGCAATGCAAACTGAGATATATTTTGAAAGAAATATAAAACTAGCATTCTTTCAGATCATTTCCCTTTTCTCTTATAATTCCTCAATGGTAAATTTATTATGGGTAACTAATTATACTTGTTTATATTTCATTAATTCTAGGACATCCACTTTTTAATTTAACATCTCTAAAATGTATCTTACAGTTGTTGACCTCTTAATGCAGTGTTTGAAGTTTTGCTTAAATAAACATTATATTAATTTATCTTTAACCAAATGTTCATGGGTATAGGGACATTCATTTTTGTATAAATAACACATTTATGATAACATGTGAAGTCAGTTTTCAGTACATCTGGATCACATACAACTCAACATGGAGCCTAACCATCTGATTATGAGTTCAAATCCTGTAGACCTTTAGGTTATAAAAGCTCTTTCAGCCTCCTACTTATGCTTTACGCTAGTGGCTACAATTTCAGCGAACCCTAACCTAACTGACAAGAATGAGTGAGTTTCTCCCAAGTTTGTTAACAAATTTTTTTTCTTTCTATTACTTCCTAAAGAATACTTGCATATGATCATCTCACTTTTAGACAGAATTAACTGGAAAAATATTACATAAAACCATCATATTTAGATTTAGATTTTGCATATTTAGGTTTTGCAGCATCTTGTATGTTGTATGTCAATGACAGGAGAAAAATATATAACCAATCAGTGTTGTAGGAAAACTTTCCCTTCAAGTTCTCTTACATTTTTATTCTTATCATTTCTGTTCTTTTGTTTGACATTTTTCTTTGGCTCTGATAAATTCACCTTAAGCCCATGTAACAACTGTCATAAAACTGCATATTTAAATTATTTGACTTATATGAAACAATTGTTCAGCTATCTGGGCAGCTGTTAATGAAATATCTGAGAGTAATAACACTACTCTTTTATCTACCTGGATTACTTTCCCACAAAAATTTACCTTTGCAAGGTAACTCTATTAATCAGGTTTCTAACCTCCATAACCTATTTCAGTTAAAATCATCTAATCCAACAATAAAAAAACCCAAAACACTGCAGTCATCAAGGATGGAAATTGTATGACTTGTGTAAAAAATCTTTACTAACTTTACACTGTACAACAGATAAATGTGATTTCGATAACAATTCCACACAATAAGTATGGCACATAGATTTTATTAATATTGAATATAAAATATTTTAATTCTAAATTAAAATAAAATATAAATTTGCACATATTAATATAGAAATTCATTTGGTGTATATTTAACATAACTTTAAAACCATTTTACATTTACCAGCTACTTCATTAAAGTTTTTTAAATGTCTGCAAAAAAAGTAGAAATGTTTTTAAATTTCAGTAATATAGCCTATGTGTTTCATTTAAGTCCTGCCTTTGTAAAAAAATTTTTTTAATATAGAGTGTATTTTTAAATTAAAATATTTGAATATAAAATAGTTCTAAGAAAGAAACTATTTCTCATTAAGCAAGTTTCTTATTATTTCTGGCTTTGAATTATACATAAATTTAAATTGCCTTAAATGACATAGAAGATTGGGGAATACGATAATTTCACATTGTATACTATGAGCCTGTTCATATAATTCTGATTGACTACTAACTTTGGTTTATGTATTTATTAAACAGCTGACACTGTAGTTTGTTGAGATGTTTATTTTTATAACAGAGCTTATAACAGTTATGACAAGGCATTTAATTAATGCATCATTCTGTTTAAAAGTAGGTGTTAACCAATATGAAATTCTATGTTTTAAAATAAAAATGTAAAGATCTAAGTATGCACAGAATGCTTCTTTATTTCTTATTGTGTGCTACATGACTCTCAGCACTGCCAGACAATAGTACATTGTCACACAAGGAAATGTAATAACATTCATACATGGTCATTGGTAGAGGACATTACATAATTCCAAAAAGCTACTACTTCTGGAAAACTGTAGAGCCAATGATAAAGATGTGAGGCCATCCTAATTGCTCTATTTCCCTTCAATAGCCACCCAATGGTGAAAGCAGAAGGAATATCCTAATTACAAAAACTGAAAAATTAGCTAAAAGACAAATTGGGCTTTTTCTAGCAGACAAAGGCTTCTACCATCACCCTGATACAAACATATCATGTTCATAATCTTAACTGCACATTCTCCAGAGCCATATTTAAACAAGTGAAATTTATGGAGTACCCTTGTGTTGTGATTTTCCTTTATTTAATCTAGTGGAAAAACTAAAGCAGATGAGGGAGCACACTGAAAGTTAAATAAGATATGCAGACAGATTTCCTGTCCTTAAGGAGTTTTAATAGTTTGAAGGAAAGGATATGTGTAGCATACTATAGATAAAAGGGTTTCACTGGAGAGATCAGATGGAAGCTATCAGGAGGTTTAACAAGGCCTTTGTTTTTGAGGATTCGTCCCAGTTGGGTTTGGGCTACAGTCTTTCAGGCTCAGAATACTGATTTTGTTATGAGTGTTGTTTGGCCCCATTTTTCCCTTCCCTCTTTAGCAATAGGACCCACACCCTGAGTTTGAATAGAGCACACAGCTGAGACGTAACTACCCAGACTCCTTTGCAGCTAAATGTGGTTACAGGACTAAATGTTGGCCAGTGGGGCAGATGCGAGAGGAACCCAGGATCTCACTTCCCCTTTCCATGTTTTTGCTATCTCGACAATTAGCGGTGTCTTGGCAAAGGAAACCCTGTGCTGAAATATTCAGAGCTTCCCCTTCAGCCAAGAACTGCTCTCCTCAACTGAACCCTGGTAGGGAAACAATCTGTTTAGCTAAACCATTGCATTTGATGGTACAGCAGATATTTTGTACTCTAATGATGTGTTATTTATATAATTGTCTTACTCCTCAGCGATAATAAATACCATTTCTGTCAATTTTTCAAATAAGGAAAACAAGGCACATAGAGGTTAAGCACCGTGTATAAATGAACGCAGCCAGTAGGTGGCCAAGGCCGGATTCATAGGAAGATCTGTTTTTCATTCCATAAATGACTGATCATATGTTTTATGAGGATAGATTTTTACTAAGTTAATTAGTTTTACTAGTCTAACTATGTCCTTATGAACCAAAAAAATGTGCAATAAAGTTGAGGAGCTAATATATGTGCAGAAACACTACACAGGAAGAAGTGAATGGAACTTAAAAATGAAAAACAAAATGTTAAGTGCACTCAGATGCTGTAACTAGACTGGAGCAGTCCATGGAGGATAGCATTTGGCCTAGGCCTTGCAGGAAAGGTAAGTGTAGCCATGCAGAAAAGCAAGGTCATGGAGAGGTAAGGGAATAGTAAAGTAGAAAAGGGTGGGGATTCCATCCAAGAACATTGAAATCTTGTTGAGATGCAGCACTGGATACTGAAAAACAGTAACCTACAGGTTCTAGTCTATGGAGCCTGCTTTCCTGACTAAGAAGTTTGAACTTTGGTTACTAGGAAAAAGCAAGCCCTGAAGTTTTTGCACAGAAAAGTGGTATTACTGGAACT